GGTCGGATCTCTCTTCTCCTGGGGGCCGGAGGGGGCTGCCAGTGGGCCCCGTGCGTGATGTACACGAGGCCAGGAGGCCACGTGACCCGGCCCGCCCTGCTCAGCGCCACCGTCCCTGCCCCCGCGCCGCCCCCGGCCCTGCGGCCCTCATCCATCATCCGCCTTCCCGCGGCGGCGCTCACTCCCAGCTGTTAGGATAATGAATTTACATGAGCTGATAATGTAGACAAGAATTCAGTCAATGGCCAGGAGCACAGAAGTTAATAAATACCCCTCTAATGAGGGCACGGGGAGCAGGTGCCCCATGTTCCCCCAGGGCTTCCTGAGGTGCGGGCGCCACCCCAAGGCCCACCCTCCCCTCGGCCCACCCGTGGGGACTCCATCGCAGCACCTGCCGTGGCCTCAGCCAGAGAGCACCTGTGTGGGAGGCCCGGCTCGGCCTCCCGGGGCGGGGGCGGGGGGGAGGGACAGAGCAGCGTGTGGGCTCTGAGGTGACCCCAGCCTGTGACAGGGGCAGGGTGGGTGGTGGGCCCCCCTCCGAGGCTGGTCGAGCCATTGTACATCCAGGGTGACCCTTGACCAGGTGTCAGGGCCTCTGAGTTTGGCCTCTGCCTTTCCGTTCTGGGCTCAAGGGCACTGGTGGTCCCTCGGCCCGCCCTCCCGGCTTGCGGGGGACGGGGGGGTGCGGGCATGCGCAGGCCATGCCGAGAGCAGTGCTAATTTTAGCTCCTTAATGAAGTGGCTGGGTTGGGATTCTATTTTCAGTGACCTGACATCAGCAGTGGCTCTCCTGGCCCACAGCGCTCTGGGACCCACGGCGACACCACAGCAGAGATGCTGGTGGTGGGGGGGACCCCAGGAACTCAGGGGGCTTCAGCTGAGCCCAGGGAGCAGCTGCCAGGCTCTGCGGGGTGGGGGGAGGGCGGGTAGGGGGCCCTGGCAGTCCGCCCCCCCAGGGACCCCGGTCAGCAGGCAGGGCCCCCTAGTTCCCTCGGCCCCTGCACCCCGCCAGGGGAGGCCCTGGGCTGGGGGGCGCCCGACTTCCTGCGGGCGTACCCACTTCACGTTGGTGACACCCCCACACACGTTTTTATAACTCCTGGTTCATCGCAGAGACGTTACAACGTAGACGCAGGGACAGAGTGAGGCCTCTGCTCCCCTCGCTGCCACTGGAGACCCCCAACACCTTAAGGGGCATGCGGTGTTATGGGGTCTGGCCTGGGGTTCGTCCTGTGGCCACCGACTGCTGTCCCAGCACCTCCGGGCCAGCGTGCCCAGCACCGTCAGCTGGCGGTCACAGCAGGTCCAGCCGGGTCACCAGCTGGCCAGCGTGTCACACGGCCACCGAGCAGTGACCTCGCAGCTGCTCCTGGGCCTTAGGGACCGGTCACCGGGATGTGGGATAATCACGTTGCCTACACCCCCTTCCCCACCACTGGTCCCCTCGTCCCCGCCTCTGACGTCGGCGTGCCGTGTGGGCTGAGGGGCAGAGTGGGTTTGGATCTGAGTCCAGACCGCTTTCGCATAAACAGGACGCAGGTGCCGAGGTCCAGCGAGCTCAGCCCCGCCATTAGCCATCTGTCGGCCCTCGGACCCAAGTGTGTCTTCCCCCATCTGTGAAATGGGCACCGTGACGCCTCTCTGACAGGACTGGGGATTACAGACAGGTGGCTGGCTCTCCAAGGAGTATGGGAACGGGGAGGGGGTGCTTGATGGTCTCTGATGGCGACGGGGGCCCACTTTGGAGACTGTGGGTAAAGTCATAGAGTTTGCAGGTGGTTGAACTTCTTTGGCTCCAAGAAGGAAGAGGCGATGGGGAGAGAGCTGGAGAGGGCAGCCTGGGCCAAAGGAGCGTGTGGTGGCACCGTGCTGATTATCCAAAGCAGCGTCACAAACTCTTCCCAGACGTAACCCACATTCGGGGATTCGCGGTGGCTCAGCGGGGTGGGTGGGGCTCAGAGTCTCGCGGAAGCTGTCATCCAGCTGCCAGCCGGGGGCTGCATTCTCATCTGAAAGCTCAGCTGGGCTGGGGGAGGAGCCGTGGCTTTTGTCTGGAGACCTGGGAGTCCCTGCAGCCTGCTTGAGCACCCTCCACTCAGGTGATTCAAGAGGGCGAGTGGGTGGCACGCGGCCGCGGTGCTTCTGGTGGCCTGTCCTCGAAAGTGACAGACCACATCTTCCACCATACTCTGCTCATTAGAAGGAAGTCCGAAAGTCTGGCCAGTGTTTGGGAGGAGGGGATTAGCCTCCACCTCTGGAAGGGATTAAGAGCACAGACCTCGTGGATGTGATTTTGAGCCACTTTGGTGAAAAGTATTTTAGCTGTGTGTGTGCGGGCGCATGTGCCTGCCTGTTTCTCCCTCCTGACCAGGTGTCACGGTCAGGCCTCGGGCCGGTGCTGCGTGCGCCCAGGTGACAGCGTTCCCGAGTCCTGGGTGTGCTGCTTCACCGTGTGGCCTTGAGTCACCGGTGTGACCAGGACTGGACTGTGAAAAGCTCCCAGGATGCTCTGCGGTCTGCGGGGCAGGTGCAGGGTGAGTGGTCGGTGGTGTGCCGGCTGCTTCCGGCCCGTTGTGAGGCCTCTCAGGAGGTGACCCAGCCAGGTGTAACTGATGTCCCCTGGGGTCCCTCCTCACTCACACTGTGTCCCCAACAAAGTGGCCCCTTCCCGGGCGCGTGCTTCTCCAGCACCACTGGGGCGAACTCCCCCTCAGGGGCTCCGTTTTCCCGCGTAGCCCCTCCGACCGGCGTCTACACTCCCCGGGACGGCCATCGACCCGCCGGGTGTGGGTGCAGAACAGGACCCGGGGACGTCCGTAGCGCCCGCATCAGCCCGTGCGTCAGTCAGCCTCCACCCGCTCAGGAACGCCGAGCTGGCTGTCTGCCCACGGTGTGTGTCCCAGGGTGCGCAGTCCCCAGCCCGGGGAGGGGACAGTGACACGGGCTTCTGGTCCTCCAGGGGGCAGGTGACACAAGCCCCGAAGCTCGTGTCCTGCTCTGCTGAGACGGACTTGCGTGGCCTGGGCCAGGCCCCTCACTCGCCTGGCCCCGCAACTCTGCCCCTCCCTGTGGGCTGACAGACCGTGTAACAAATGGCCTCTGGTGTGTCACGCACACTCTGAAGTCCTTTCACATAAGTCAGTTCCTTGAATCCTCTCAGGATAACCTCACGAGGTAGGCTGTGTCTTAACTCCATTTTGTGGACAGAGAGGCAGAGTGACTTGTTTAAGGTCACGCAGCTTGTGCTTAAGGTCACGCAGCTTGAGGCTGCTGAGCAGGATTCAAGCCCCAGGTATCTCGCAACCGAGTGAAAGGCAAGCTTGACCTTGAGGCCCCCACTTCCGTACTCCGTGACCAAGGCCACACCTACCCTGCCCCCCCCCCCACGCTGTCCACTGGAGGAGGAGGTGAGGCCGCCAGCGGAAGCCTGGGGTCAGAGTTCAGGGCGTGGCGTGCATCGTGCTCCGTGCCCTCCAGGGCCTGGCCTGGTACTGGGCTGACTGAGAATGACCCGTGTCTGGGACCTATGTTTTCTGGTGACCAGGCTGCTGGGGAAGGGACGCCGCCGTGCCCCCCCCCCCCCAGGGTTGGGTTCCTCTGCCTGGGTCGGTGCCGCCTTAGCCACTCGGAAGGGCAGTGCCCCGCCCCCCAGGTGGAGGTCCTTTTGTTCCGAGGCACCAGCCTTCACCCGAGAGACGAGAGACGTGTGCCCCAAGCTCACCCCGCCTCGGTGCTGGCTTTGTGAGCCCGCCCCGTCTGGTAGGGGCACAGCGGTGCCAGCGCCATCCGGCTCCCGGGGACCCAGGCTTCGGGACGTGTGCTCGGTCCTGCGGCCGCCTGCCCCCAGCCGGGCCCCTCTTCTCGCCTGCCAGCCCCGATCCGGTTAGACTCCTCTACACTCTGCAGAATCCGGCAGAGGCGAGGTGGGCTCTGCACGCCCCTCGCCGCCACCCGTGGGAAGTGCACGGTTTTGCCCGGTTATATTCTCGAGTGATCTACAGTCGCGCCCCCCTCCCCCGCCACGACCCCCGGGGACCCGTCCTCAGGTGGCTCTGCGGTGTTCCTGACGCCTGCCCTCCCAGGTGTCCATCTGGGGTGTGGGAGTCCATTCGCTGCTTCCTGCACGGGACCTGGGGCCCCGCCAGCTGCGAACAGCTGCAAAGCCATTGGCCTTGATTTACTCCCCTGGAAAGCACCTGCGGCGAGGGGGCGGGGCCGGGCCGGGCAGGTGGCGCGAGAGGGCAGGGATGTTAATGGAAAACTTATTTATGGCTACGCTCGCTCTGCCGCCTGAGAGGGAGCTGGGCCTTCATTGATCTGCCACTGGGGAGGCAGTTCAGCCTCCTCGATACTTAGACAGGACTCGAAAGGCTGGGGGCACGCGGGAAGGTGGCCGTGTCGTCCCCCGTGGCGCCTGCTGTCACCCGGGCGGGCGCTGCGGGACGCAGGGATTCCCAGCCATGGTGGTTGAGGTCTGCGGTTCTTCCGTCCTCAGCCTCCAGGCAGGGGCTGCGGGTGACCGGGCCCCTCCCCCACGTCTCCCGCAAGCGCAGCTGGGGCTGTTCTCCGAGGCACCTGCGCAGGTGGATGCCTGCCGGGACCCCGAGTGGCAGCGGGGTGGGCGCTCCCGCCTGGGGTCGCATCCTGGGTCCGTGCTGCCCAGCACGGGGGCGCGAGCAGAGCGAGGCCCTCTCCCTCCCTGCCGGGTCCTTGTGGTGAGGATGCGGCCGTGCCTCGCCGTCCCTCGCGCCCGGCTCCGGGGACGCTGGTGGGTCTTCCGGGCTGTGAGATCACGCTGTCCTGGGGCCCCGGGGACACCGGAGGCTCTGACTACGCGCCTGGGGGGGGCCGCTCTGCCCCGCTTTGCCTGTCCCGCCGCGGCCGCCGGGTCTGCGCTGCCCCCTCTCGCTGCATGCTGCTTGCCGGCGCCGGGCCCCACCCCTGCTCTGGTGCTCGGCCCTCCTGCTCTGGGTGACCTGGTTCTTCTTTTCCTGTTTCAGGCATGAGCCATGAGCCCAAGGCCCCTCCGCTAGGGATGCTGTCCACCGCGGCCAGGACCACCGCCGCCGTCAGCCCCCTCACCCCCTCGCCGCTCGATGGCGCCCTGGTGCCCAGCGGCAGCCCCGCCGCCAGCAGCGCGCTGTCGGCCCAGGCCGCGCCGTCTTCCAGCTTTGCCGCCGCGCTGCGCAAGCTCGCCAAACAGGCGGAGGAGCCCAGAGGTAAGAGGCGCGCGGCCCCCTCCCCCGCCGGGCCGAGGAGCAGGTGCAGCGGCCGGAAGCGGCTCGGAGACGGGGGGGGGGGATCGGA